CGGATGTTTTTCTGAAAGGTTGTTATCAATAGTATTGTTTTTAAGCTGGATTTCTGGGGGGAGCAGGAATAATCTTGTTTGAAGTGTAGGGCCCCAGAAACCCAGAAACAAATATTAAAAAAAAAGAGTTGGAGGATTCTTCAAGAGTTCAGGCCCCCGAACTTGGGTTTTTGTTTCTTGAGTTTTCCCCCCCAGGTACGGGGGTGGGGGGAGCTTGGGGTCTTCGGGGGGGATTCGCCGAACCCGATAGTTTAAATCAACATTATGTTGGAGAAAGAGAAAACAGACAACACAACGAACACGTAGAAAAGAGCACCGACAACAAACCGAGTTTTTCCCAACCATCCTGTGGTGTTGGGTCCTCGTTTTGAAGAGACGGTGCCCCGCGTTCCTCTCCTTCCTCCTCCCTCCTCCTCCGCCTCCTCCCCCCTCCCATCATCATCATCATCATCATCATCATCATCAGCAGCATCATCATCATCATCATCATCATCATCATCATCATCATCATCATCATCATCATCATCATCATCATCATCATCATCGTCATCATCGTCATCGTCACCGTCATCACCATGATCATCATCGACATCATCGAGTCATCATCACCACCACCACCATCATCATCATCATCATCGTCATCGCCATCACCCATTTCGGCACACCCCTCACACGTTTCGTGGCCCCATAGGGAGCTCCACCGAAGGCCCCAGGGCTGCCGCCCGCATGCGTCCCCTACACCCATTTCGGCACACCCCTCACACGCTTCGTGGCCCCATAGGGAGCTCCACCGAAGGCCCCAGGCTGCCGCGCATGCGTCCCGTACACACCATTTCGGCACACCCCTCACACGTTTCGTGGCCCCATAGGGAGCTCCACCGAAGGCCCCAGTGCTGCCGCCCGCATGCGTCCCCACACCCATTTCGGCACACCCCTCACACGTTTCGTGGCCCCATAGGGAGCTCCACCGAAGGCCCCAGGGCTGCCGCCCGCATGCGTCCCCACACCCATTTCGGCACACCCCTCACACGTTTCGTGGCCCCATAGGGAGCTCCACCGAAGGCCCCAGTGGCTGCCGTCCGCATGCGTCCCCACACCCATTTCGGCACACCCCTCACACGTTTCGTGGCCCCATAGGGAGCTCCACCGAAGGCCCCAGTGGCTGCCGTCCGCATGCGTCCCGCACCCATTTCGGCACACCCCTCACACGTTTCGTGGCCCCATAGGGAGCTCCACCGAAGGCCCCAGTGCTGCCGCCCGCATGCGTCCCCTACACCCATTTCGGCACACCCCTCACACGTTTCGTGGCCCCATAGGGAGCTCCACCGAAGGCCCCAGTGCTGCCGCCCGCATGCGTCCCCTACATCAATTTCGGCACACCCTTCGCACGCTTCGTGGCCCCATAGGGAGCTCCACCGAAGGCCCAGGGCTGCCGCCCGCATGCGTCCCCTACACCCATTTCGGCACACCCCTCACGCGTTTTGTGGCCCCATAGGGAGCTCCACCGAAGGCCCCAGTGCTGCCGCCCGCATGCGCCCCCTACACTCATTTCGGCACACCCCCTCACACGCTTCGTGGCCCCATAAGGTGTGCCGCCGAAGAAGATACTCACAATGGCGGGACCCACGACTGCATATGGTTGGGTCCTTCGCCAGGCTATTTTTTTTCTGGGGGGTCCGGGGGCGTCCAGAAATAGCCTTGTTTTTAATTGCGGGGCCCTCGAACCCCTGATATTAATTACAATTAAAAAATCATTGGAAAGTCACTCGGGAGTTTCCTGAGAGGTTTTCTGACATAGCCTTGATTTTCTTTGTGGGGCTCCAGAACCACCGAAACACCAAAGAAAACCACCGAGTTGAAGGCTTTTCGGGAGTCCCCCCCCGGAAAAAAACATACGAAAAACCACAGAAAAAACTCCCGAACAACTCCCGAGTTTGAAGGTTTCCCGAAGAGTTGTCTGAAATAGGTATGTTAAAATTGTAGATCCCCCAAAACAGCGAAAAACCTATGAAAACTCTATGATTTGTTCTGTGGTCCCCCCCCTCCCCAGAGAAAAAAAAAAAAAACATAAAAAACAGAAAAACCGAGTTGGGTGGTGTTTCAATGATTTCCCCGGGGGGTTCTGAAATAGTACTGTTTTGTAGTGTGGGGCCCCAGAACCTCTGAAAAAAACACCGACAAACCACCGAGTTGTTTTTTTGGGGGCGCCCCCGAAACACCCCTGGAAAACCTTTTTGGAAAAAACCAGAGTTGAAGGGTTTGTCGGTGGTTTTTCCGGTGGTTTTCTGAAATACTATTGTTTTTGATTGTGGGGACCCAGAACCCCCGAAACAAAGTATAAAAAACTCTGGTTGTAAGGGTTTTTCAAAATTCCCAACCCCCCGTCCCCCCCGGGAAAATCCCAGAAAAAAAACACCGAAAAGACCCCGAGTTGGTGATTTTTAGTATGGGGTTCCCCTCCTCCCGAAATCACAATAGAAAAACACAAGGAGAAAAAACAGAGTTGAGGGTTTTGCAACACAATCTAGATCGCCGGGCTCCCCGCCATCACCTTACAGTGATTCTTGACAGGCGCGAGGGGGGCAGTACCATATTGCTCCACGTGGACAGACCAACCATCCCTGACAAAGAAATACAAAGCGCAAGCTGTGGCACAGTATTGGACCGTGCGTGGAAATCCAACGAAAAGTTCGCACTATTACCTGACAGGGATGATGAGGGTGCCCTCGAGGGTGTCGCGCACCTGGCTGGCGTCTGCATTGGTTCCCGATGCTGTCGATGGCGGCCCCTGCCGATGCTGAGACTCGGGTGCTACTCATGTTTCGAGAGTCCAGGTGGGAGTGAGCGGGACTGCTTATGGCTTGTGGGCAGCTTGACCCCATCCCCCATACACCCTCGCCTGGGTCACCCTCGCCTGGGTCTGGACAGGGGGTGTTCGCGACGGGACAAACTCCAAGACGGACCAAGATAGCTCAATGATGGCCCCAGATTGCCCCGAAATACCTTTCAATATGGCACAAGATAATCCAACATGGCTGCAGGTAACTTCCATGCCTCCAAGTGTTGCCAAGACCTCTCCAAGACGGGTCCAAGTGGCCTCGGAACCTCCCCAGCACGCCCATCGTTCCAACAGAAATTGGAAGACGATGGTGTGTGCCTTATCGCCGTTTCGCTTCGGACTGGTTTTTGTGGCCTCAAGATGGCTCCAACCTGTCCCAATAGAGCCCCAGGAGGGCCCCTAAGAGGGCTCCAAGACGGCCCAAGAACTCCCAAGAGCCCCCGCCCAAAAGAGGTCTCCAAGAAGCTCGCAAGTCGGGAAGGGCGTACGATGGCCCAGAATGGCCCCAAATGGCCCCAAGAGGGCCCAAACAAGCTGGCAAGATGATCCCATCTCGAAAGACCCGCGAAGGCATGAATGTTCCCGGGCCGACGGTTCACCCCCCCCCCCGATGGGATGGGTTCCACGGTTCCATAGGCCCCACCACCAGGTGGGATGGGGGGGGCAACGACGTCGACGCCGCCGCCGCCGACGACGGACGACGACGCCGCCGCCGCCGCCGCCGACGACGACGACGACGACGACGACGACGACCTCAGCCGAAGCACACCACGGTCGGTGCACATCTCCCTCCTCGACCTCCATCAGGCAATTCACTCGATGAAAAGAGGACACCACATCGAACGGATTGTGTACGGGGTTGAAGCCCATGGCCGCCAGGAGTTTGGCCCGCTGTCCGATGAACTCGTCGTCCGCTCCGCAGGCAGTAAGCCACCCAATTGACGCGTGCTCTCAGGAATCTCCTGCCCACCGGGGTTCCACGCCTGGATGACAGGCAGTTGTCCAGCTGGCAAGCTGGGCGGACTGTCTGGGGTCTCTGCTGCGTCTAGAGCCTGCGGGACGAAACCCACCCTAGACTGAAGGAGCCCAGAATTGGAGACGAATTGGGGGAGCGCCTCAGCTTGGCTTTGGCCTCCACATCGTCTGCGACCCCCATCGCGCGCAGCACTGCCTGCAGTTTGGTGATGTTGAGCTGGATCGTTGGTATCGAAGGTGCCGAATCACCTGCGCCAAAAGTCGCCGCAGCAACGACAGGGGCACGCAGGATGCACAACTCCTTCTTAGCCGCCCCCTGATCCTCAATGCTCTCTTTCAGACTGGGCGATGCTCTGCTGCATGTCCTGCATCTGCTTCCTCTGCTTTTGTAAGGCGAGTTTCGCTTTCTGAATAATGCGCTCAGCGGCCTCGATCCTGGCAGTGGCCGTGCACACCTGGGAATGGAATGGCTTGGAGGCCTAAGAGTTTCTGGCGAAGGACATCACGCTCCTGCTGCACGGTCTTCCTGAGATCATCCCGCGCTGGTCTCACAGACTTCTGACACGCCTGCGCTTCCTTCTCCACCTCAGCCACTGTGTATTTGGCTGCAGACCCTGTGGGTGACTCCGACTGCAGACTGGCATCCTGGTCTTGAGAGGCCCCACGGTTGGCAACTTCGCCACGGGCCTCAAGCTTCCGAACCGTGGCACGCAGTTCCTTGAGCTCCGCACCTCGAAGACCCAGAAGAACCAGCAGCCCAAAGAGCACGCTGAGCCCCACAAATAGACGTCGACGGCTCTGGAGGGACAGATTGGATCCAAAACAAACACCCTTGTGAAGCCCGCAGAGCGCGCACGATGTCCCCCCACTGCCGTTGATCCGAAATTTGCTTGTGTTGTCATGGATACACGCTCGGCAAAACCACCTGCGTTTGACACGTGTCCAAGACATGCCACCGTGATCGGTAGGCTGAACTGCTGGTCGCGTACGTGCGTGCTGGCGCCCCAAGAGGTATCGGCGTAGTGTGTCCAAAGTGGACACTTCTGGCGGGCGCAGAAGCCGACAAGCGGTAAGCGGTTCGGACCAGAACGGCTTGGGCCACCTTCTCACTCCCCTCCTCCTCCTCTTCCTCCTCCTCCTCCTCCTCCCCCTCCTCCTCCTTCTCCTCCTCCTCCGCCCTCCGAGCCTCCCACGCAGCGTCGACGGACTTCAAGTGTTCCTGAAACTCCGCGGCCGACCCGAAGCTCACCGGCAGGGCCTGTGGCAGATCACGGACGCCCTCGCACTGACCTCGGGGAGGGCAGAAAGCAGGACAAGACTCTGGGTTGCCGACCGAAAGATTCACGCTGGCGGCACGCCACCGCGCTCTGCAGCGGTTGGTTATCTGTTCGATGTGATCGTGCTTCTGACCTCATTCCCGCACTAGGCTTTGCCTTAAAGCGTTGGTTGTTACCCAGACATGCGATGTCCTTGTCTTCTTCAATACGGGCTCTCTGGAAGTCCCGACCCCTTCCCCAAGGCCAGCTTTGAAGCCCGATTCGTTTTTGGCGGTCCCGGGGCCTGGGAAAAGGCCCACAGAGGCCGAAAATTCGCAAAAAATGCCCGCCCTGAGTATTACAGGACGTTGCGTCTGGGTGTTTGAAACACTGGTGGGTGCCAGGGCTAGCCAACCGGCATTCCTCGGGGTCGCCTGGTTGCCGGGCCTTGCTGGGGTTGCCCGGGTTGCGCGGGTTGCCTGGCCCTGCCCGGCCTTCCCTGGGCTGCCTAGCCCTGGCCCGGCCCTTTTGACCTGCTCTGCCGGCCAAAACAGGTGCCTGGCTACACGGGTTGCCTGGCTGCCCAGTTGACTGCGTTACCCAGGTTGCCCGATTGCTACGCACAGCCATGCAAAGCAATGTCGACACTGGCCCTCCCCTGCGAACGATGCTACCCACGAGTTGCACCTGGCAAACTCGGAACACGCGAAGACCAACCTGCAATAGGCGAGCCCCCGCGCAGAACCTTAGCTCGCGCAGCAGAATCGGACGAGGGAAAGGAGGAGGAGGAGGAGGAGGAGGAGGAGGAGGAGGAGGAGGAGGAGGGAGAGTGGGCGGCGCGGTGGCCAAACGCGGCCTGCGCAAAGCAGAGCAACGCCAAGAGCAGAACAATGCGTTGCAGCGCAAAGCAACGCAAAGCAACGCCAATGAACGCACAGCAATGCCAAGCAAAGAAGGGCAACGCCAGGACATGCCTAGCAATACAAGCAATGCATTGCAAATACCAGCAACACCAAGCAACGCACATCAACGCAAAGCAAAACCAAGCAATGCCAAGCAATGCCAAGCAATGCCAATCAATGCAAGGCAACGCCGAGCAATATCAAGCAACGCCAACCAACGCCAAACGGTGCCGAGCAACACCAAGCACTGCCAAGCAATCCCAAGCCATGCCCAGCACTGCCAAGAAATTCCAAGCAATGTCAGGCAACGAAAAGCATTGCGAGGCAATGCCAGGCAATGCAATACCGAGCAAAGTAAAGAGATGCCAAGGAGCACAAAGCAGTGCAAAGCGTAGCAAAGCGTAGCAAAGCAAAGCAATGTCAGACAATACCAAACAATGCCAGGCAATTCCAGGCAATGCCAAGCCATGCGATGCAAAGCAAAGCAAAGCAATCCAGAGCAAAGCAGAGCAAAGCAACTCAATACCAGACAACGAAAATCAACGCAAAGTAATGCCAAACAACGCCAAGCAATGCAAAACAAAACAACGCCGTGCCTAGCAAAGTAAAGCAATGCAAAGCACTGCCTTCCTTGCTCAATTGCTTACTTAGGGAACGTTTGATTGTGAATATCTCCAGGGCCATCGATGTTGTCATTCGTCTTGCACCTAACGAAGCAACAGTCAAGCCCCCCGACGCGTCGAGCCAAGCATGCGTCCGAGTCCTGCCCCCGAGTGCCCTGCGCCATTCCTTTCCGCAAGCAGACAAATCCCCCCAGAAAGAAAATGTCGGGCGCTCCCCTCGGAGCCCCTATAGGTACCACGGCAGCAAAATTCGCGCCACGGCGGAACAATTCGCGCTACGGCGAAAAGACTCCCGCTACGGCGCTACGACGGATACACACACACACACACACTCACACACGCACTCACACACCCACACACACACATGCTCCCAGAACCGATGCTCAGTTAAAGTGGCAAGAATGACCCACTTGTAGTGTTTGGCCGATCATCTCAGTGGGAAAACGACCCACGCATACACAGTATGGACCCCAAACTCCTCAACTCCCTCACAGCGAGGTGCCCGGCACGCGCGGCAGCGCAACTGACGAATAGCACTGCTGGAAAGGCTGGACAGCACCCGAGGCACACTGTGGACTGGATGAGGCGCAGAAGGGTCGAATGCCGCAACACAGCGCATGAAACAGAGGCAAGACCGCTTTGCGGGGCACTCCCGTGGGTGTGCAGAGCAAGCCCGTGAGTTCTTTCGTAACCCTTCACCACAGACGAAACCGGGCCAGCACGAGCGCAACGACGGCCCAGCTGTAGCGTGGGGCCTCGGCCAGACTCCACAAAGCTGCGCGGGCCAGCGGTGAGAGCCGGCCCCGCGTCCCGCAGGCTTTCCGGTGGCCGCATGGCCTCCCACGGCTCCCCCGTGGCCTGGTCTTCCGCCCGCATGGCTTGTCTGTGGCTTCCCGCCCAGCTGAGCCTGCATGTCACACGCTTTCTGGCGGCTGCTTGAGCTGATATGGCCTCGGACGCCTTGGCCTCATATGGGCGAGGATCAAAAAAGGGGTCTCACGCGAGGTGGCATTGCGACCTTACGCGGTGGCTCACGCGGGCCGACAGCGCGGCACACGACGCTCGAAGCGAGGGCGCTTACGCTGTGCCATACGCGAGTAGCTTGTGCGCCAACGTCGGCGAAGACGACCCCGCTGTCTGCCGTCGCTCATTTGACTCCCCGATGGCCTCCCGGCACACTGGCACTGCATGTCACACACGTCTTATGCTGTGGCGTGGCCTCGCATAGCTCGGCTGCGATTCCACACACACGCACACACACATACACACACACACACACACACACGCGCGCGCACACACCGCGCGCGCACACGTACACTTTGCTGCGTCGCAGCCACGCGCGCAGCAACGCGGCGAAGTCAGCATGGCAGAGAGCGATGGACACGCACACACACACAAACAAACACACGCACACGCACACGCACACACACACACACACACACACACACACACACACACGCGCACGCGGCGCTACACACGCGAATGGGTCTGGACACCTCTTGCACAAATCAATTGTTTGGGGCCCACGAGCTGGCATCATCGAGCAGCAGGACTCGTCTGCAGCGTACACCGTCGGGATGTGCAGCCGGGCTGAGCTGCTCCATCTGCACGCATGTGTGCTAAGAGAGCGACGCCAAAGCCTCTGCAGCCGTGCGGGAGGACCGAACCACCGAAGCGGGCACGGGTATTCGGGTGCGCGGGCCCCGAGAGGCCCCCGAAGCCTTGAGAAGGAGGCGGCGGGATCAGTCGGCATCGGATCGGGAGATCGGATAAGATCGGAACCTGCGTCGGATCAGGCTGCATCGGCACGGAATCGAGCTCAAGTCGGACCGGCCGGGCCAGGATGCACCACTCCGCCTGGTGCAAGCATCGGGCAACACCGCACCACTGATACATCGGAATCGAGGGGGACCGAGCATGCCGAGGCGGCCGACGCCGATATCGAATCGGACCGATCGGATCGAGGTCGACCCTCTGGGAGGTGGGGGGGGGAGGGGGAGCGGCCTGGCACGCCTGCGACCTGATCGCTCGCCAGGTCCTCGGGCCACTCAGGGAAGGCGACGTCGTAGCGCAGCAGCGGCTTGCTCGCTTGCACGTCGCATCTGCCCAGCTCCCCGACGAGCTGCGCTCCCTGGGAGGCCAGCGCGAGGTTGCGACGCCGCGACTCGACCATCATTATGCGCCAGGGGGCGTCAGCTGCCCACCTCGCCGATCCTGGCCAGGCCTTTCCTGTTTCCCGTTGGGAAACAACTCCTGGAAGGTATTCGCAATAACAACAAAAGATGTCAGACCCGATGAAAAGGCCAGTCAGTCAGGAACCGTGCCTAGACGGCACATCGGTTGCAGATCACGTGCATGAGCGTATGCACAGCAGTACGCCAACGTCAGGGGTGGTGTAGAAATCTGCTCACTCGCGCCCAGCCCCGCCTGGAGGCCCGCATGGATTGAGCCCAGGATTGAGCCCGATTGAGCCGAATTCAGAAGAAGAATGGGACTATGCATGCCAGATTAGGATGGCATTCGACCGCGTACATACCCTCCTGGCTTGGCCAGGGAGGCAGGTGCACCGATTCTGGGCCCAAGATGTGACCCGAAGACACCGACACCGCTGCTCCCCGGGCCCCGCCCGGGGTGCGCTCCGACCAAACTTACGAGGAGAATCCAGCAATGACGACGAGAGCCTCCCAGAAAGCCAAACACAGCGGAAACGAGGCGAGGGTAGCGGGGTCGGTGCCGTTCTTGGGCAGGCCGTGGGAGCGAGCGCTTGCAGCGTCAGTACGGACCCACCGACAACGCGGGCCGCCGACGCCGACCCCACGGCCAGAAGGCAGGCGATGGGAAAGGCACCGATGACAAGGCAGCCTGGCGAAAGAGGACGGCCAAGCGCTGGCCAGCGGCATCGGTACCTTGTGCGAATAAGGGGCCGACTGCAAAATTGAATTACCTCAAAATCCGCGTTCCGCCGAATCTAAGAACATTGCGTAGAATGCACCGTAGGTCTACAAACACTCCACAGATGCTTCGTAGACTCGACGGCGACGACGGGATGTTTCGGCCGAGGGTCACTCAACTCTGTAGTCGATCCCCCGCTCGAGCCGCCTACTCCTCTGAGGATTCGCGAGGTTGTCAGCTGGCGCCCCACGAGCTGTGAGCTGCGGGCTCGCCCTCGCCCACCGTGGCCAGCGCGGCCCTCGGGTCGTCGAGGATCTCTGCCCCCGATATCAGCCGCTGCCTCTCGACTGCAGGGCCCCCCGCCTGGAAGAAACGCCAGCGTAAACCCAGGTCGCCCAACTTCGCGCATCGAGCCCCGCGATGAGCGACGCGCGAGTATCTTCTCTCCAGGAGGAGGAGGAGGAGGAGGAGGAGGAGGAGGAGGAGGAGGAGGAGGAGGAGGAGGAGGAGGGAGGAGGAGGGGGGGAGGAGGAGGGAGGAGGGAGGAGGAGAGGGAGGAGGGAGGAGGAGAGGGAGGAGGAGGAGGAGGAGGAGGAGGAGGAGGAGGAGGAGGAGGAGGAGGAGGAGGAGCATCGCGCCCTCACGCCCAGGCGCCGCCTCCTTGGAGAAGGGCAGCCGCTCGGGCAAAGAGACCACGGAGAGCGAAGCGCGATATATCTTCGCGCACCTGCGGGTGACCCAGTGAACATACAACCATCGTGCCACCATAATAGGGGATACAGGGCTCGACCAAAGCAGTGTTTTACGTTTTCGATTTGTGTTTGCTGTCCCTCGCGATGTCTTCAATCCGCCTCTACCGCAAAACGAAGCCGAAACGAAACCGGCCCACGAAATCGCCAAAACACCGTTTAGGCCCACCCCTGACATAATAGGGGAAGCAGGCACTGCACGAGCAGAAATGTTCGGAGCTCCGCGTGGCAATCTTGGATCGGTGCTGTAGACACCCCTCAGGACGCCTCCAGCGCCGACCCTGGGTGTCCTCCGCGCGCCGTTGGCTCGGGGTCCAGCGCCGATCCAGGAAGTTTGCGCGGAGATCCGAAAGTTCATGTTTCTGCAGCCTGTTCGTGCTTTACCTTCCTCGGCAGAAGGGGCCGAAGAAGGAGTTGTTCCCCTGCAGCGAGTCCGCGACACGTGTTCCTGCTCCTGCGGTCCACATGGGGGGGGGGGCAGGACTTGTCCGCCGGTGACGTTGCAGGCAGCTGACGGCGGGTCCCCTCCCACGAACCCGGGGCCACTGGGGACACAGAACAGGCTCTGAAGAATGAGTGAAAAGGGCTTCTCCGGCCACGGCCAGCCCCCGCCACGAACCGGCTCCCCGACCGAGATCCGAGAAACGGCCCAGACACGGAAGCCCATCCTGAGCCCAAGGCGGCACTTGCTTCATCGGAGGTCCGCGAGGATAGCTCGAAGCGGCGCTGAACCCCCTTCTCCCTCAGGCGTCAGAGACGCCGCCGCGGCGGGGTCCAGCGCGGACTCGAGACATCCGCACGGACCTCCAAACACATATGCTTACGCAGACGTTTGTCACTCCGACTGCCCGCGCGATGGCGCTCTTGAGGTCCAGCACCGTCGCGCCCGGAGGTAAGGCAGAGGGCCCCAAGACGACCCCAAGGAACTCTGAGATCCGACGTCGCACAAACAAAAAACATCTCGAGAAATAACCACCAGAGCCCTAGACACCGTTTGTCTGCTGCATTCCGCGAGCCGAATTCATCTGTGAAGGTCCCGGGGCCCGAAACAAACCCACATCGCTCGTTGTGAGGACGTCGTGCAGTGCCAACAAACAACTGGTCTGCGGCTTACCTTTGGAACCTCCACGAGCCTGCGGGCGAACTGCCTCTGACCCTGACCTCGGGAGGGTCGCGCGGCGCAGTTGATCTCGCGCCCCCCGGCGGGGAGGTACAAGGAAGGAAGGGAAGGAGAGAGGCGCGAAGCGCGAGGGAGGGGGGCAGCAACGGCAACCGCGAACCAGCGTTCATGATCGCGCGCGCGCGACAAAGCTAACTTGCCCTATGAGTCGACAGGATCTGAGGGAAGAGGTGGGGGGCCTTGGGGCCCTCTGCGAAACAGAACTCCCCGAGGTCCCTGCCGCCCGGAGTGCTAACAGTGACGGCCACGCGCCTAGCCGCGGCCGCCTCGGCGGCGGGTGCCTCGGAGGCTGCGGCGCCGGTGAGCATTGCAGCTGCCGCAGCGCCAGAAGGGCGCGAGGCGGCGGAGGGGGGACAGCGACTGAAAAATCAGGTCCTGGGCCTCTCCCGGCGGCGGGGAAGCGTGAAGATCTCGATGCCTCCTCCCTACTCCTCCCTACTCCTCCTCCTCCTCCTCCTCCTCCTCCTCTCCTCCTCCTCCTCCTCCTCCTCCTCCTCCTCCTCCTCCTCCTCCTCCTCCTCCTCCTCCTCCTCCTCCTCCTCCTCCTCCTCCTCCTCTTGCTCCTGCTCCTGCTCCTGCTCCTCCTCCTCCTCCTACTCCTCCTCTTCTGCCCGATGTCCACCCCTCTGAGAGAGAGAGAGAGAGAGAGAGAACAAAAAAAAAAAACATGGAGAAAGAGAGAGAGAGAGAGAACGCCCAGAGCCCATGGCTGCGGGAGGAGCAGGAGCGGCAGCAGGAGATGGGGACGGAGAGCCCGGCAGGGCGGCGCGGGGAGGGCCTGGAGTAGGGGGCGGAGGGAAAAGCGGGGGCGAGAAGCGGAGGGTGGATCCAGTGTGCATCCAGCACTGCGAAGAGCTTCGGGCGGAGCGCTGGGCGCCATCGGCCAGCGCCGCGCCTCTTCGCCTCCCGAGAGGCCGTCGGCGCAGTTGGTGCCGCACGCCCCTCAGAAGCCGAAGACGTACACGAAGAACAGTCGGCGCCCGACGCCGCCCCAGGCGTCGGCTCGCAGGTCGGCGAAGCCGAGCTTGACGAATTTGCAGGGCTCCTGCGTGAGGCCGCCGCTACACATATCCAAGTCTGAGGGGGTCCAATTATTGAGCCTGCAGGCGGCAGGATCCAGACTCGACCACAAGCCAACGCACGGCTTGGTTCGCATCATTTCCTCGCGACGCCGTGAGCCTCCGGCCCACAACGCTAAGCAAAAAGGCCAATTTGTCAGGCTTGGTACACTCCTGGGACGCCAAATCTGTAGAAAAAACAATCTGCCGAATTGAAAACATCATATCCCGTTATGTGTGTTCTGTGCTCCCCCCTCTGGCGGAGGATCGTCGTCGTCGCCATCGCCCGGTCCTGTCTCACGGCTCGCGGGAGAACACAAAAAAAGGAGAAGGGAGGGGCGAGGAGGTGCGCCTGCATCCGCCACCCCGCCACAAGCCCGTGGACGAGAGACCGGTGCGCGCGACCATACATCAGAGTGAGGGGGCCGAACGGTCATTCATTGTCCCTGGTTGAAAATCGGCGCCTGCGGCGGGCTCGTGTCGTAGGTCGCGGGTGGGTCGCGGGTGGGTCGCGGGTTGGTCGCGGGGTGGGTCGCGGGTAAGTCGCGGGTAAGTCGCGGGTGGGTCGCGGGTGGGTCGCGGGTGTAGACGGCAGAAAATCAACCACATAGTAATCACCCCGACAAGTAAAGCCGTTTAGTTAACGCACGCAAGGAATGAATCGAACAGGGCAGGGCTGTTTAGTCAACGCCGTGGTTTTTCCTCCCTTGAAGGTGGGTAGCGGGGTGGGTCGCGGGGTGGGTCGCGGGGTGGGTCGCGGATGGGTCGCGGATGGGTCGCGGGGTGCGGGTGGGTCGCGGATGGGTCGCGGGTGGGTCGCGGGATGGGTCGCGGGTTGGGTCGCGGGTTGGGTCGCGGGTGGGTCGCGGGGTGGGTCGCGGGGTGGGTCGCGGGGTGGGTCGCGGGGTGGGTCGCGGGGTGGGTCGCGGGTGGGTCGCGGATGGGTCGACGACAACAAACAACAACAACAACAACAACAACAACAACAACAACAACAACAACAACAACAACAACAACAACACCAACAACAACAACAATAACAACAACAACAACAACAACAACAACCACAACAACAACAACAACAGCAACAACAACAAGAACAAGAACAAGAACAACAACAACAACAACAACCACAACAACAACACCAACAACAACAACAACCACAACAACCACAACAACAACCACAACAACAACCACAACAACAACAACTACTACTACTACAACAACAACAAACACAACAACAACAACAACAGCAACAGCAGCAACAGCAGCAACAACAACAGCAGCACACAATAACAAAAACAACACCAGTCAACAAACAACAAACGACGACATCAACACCAACAACAACAGCAGCAACAACAACAGCATTAACATTAACAATAACAACATCAACTACAACTACAACAACAACAATAACAAGCACAACAACAACAACCACAACAACAACGCAACACGCGGAATTCTCACCACGAATTCCTGATTCAGCCACGCAACCAGGGACAATGAATGACCGTTCGGCCCCATCACTCTGATAATTTGTGAAACTTTGGCGCCTGCGGCGGGCTTCTCCAGAGTCCCGCAAACTGCCGACGTCCCCAACGCCCCCTCACTCTTATCCGCATCTGCGGGGTACAACGTATGATTTGATGCATGCCGCATGCAGAGACTGGGACGGTCTAAAAGCCCAGGGGACTTCCAAGAAGGGGGCGCCCAAGAGGGGGGTTAGCAGATCATGACCCGAGGCATGTGCGCGGACGTTTGGGGGGACCAGGGGACGTACTGAAATAATAAGAAGAAGAATCATGAGAAGAGGAAGAAGAAGAATGGGGGCTACGAGATCCGGGAAAATTACATGGCCCCGGCCATGATATCCACCCACCCAGTCATTACACCCCTCTTGGAGGCCCCGAGAAAAAACAGCATGAACATACTGTCAAATATCCGCGGCGGTTTCTTGGATCGGCGCTGGGCTCCCGTGACGGCGCCTCCTGCACCGCCCCTGGCGCGACCCGCGCGCCAGAGAAGGAGGTCCAGCGCCGATCCGAGAAATCCGCGCGCACCTCCGAAAATGTATTCCCCAATCACTGCTCGCACTGAAGAAGTCCAAACGGAGATTGAAAGGATAGGCGAAAATATCCTGGGTTCCTGGGTTCAGGGGCTCCTAATTTCGGGAGGTGGTGGGGATCCCAGGTCGAAGACGGAACTGCGCCGACAAGGCAGGCTGCGGTCGGCGTGCATTGTGGGCGAGCAAGCGTGATACTCATAATTTCCCGCCGCGTTTCGGCCTCTAGCGAAAGGGGTCTGGGGGAGACAGAGATCCGTTTAGCAAAACGCCCTTCTGCGAAAGCTGCCAGGTGCACTCCACGTGCGCGTGGCACCGCATGCAGAGTGCACACCAGCGAGGTAGCTAACCGACGTCCAAAACCAACCAGACCAGCTGTCAATACCCAAGGGGGGGTGGGGGTGGGGGCAGCTCAAGGGGGGTGCATAGTAGAGCTGATTGAATCAACATGAAGACCCTGGTGAACGTGAAACTCCTGAATGGGAAAGCCCTGACCCACTCCGCATGGAAGCACAATGAGCTAGGGAGCAGGGCAGTCGCCCGCGTGGCGGCCCTGGCCCATGCTGCACAGCCAACATGGAGCCACACAAAACAGGAAGACATCTCAAAGAAGCCCATCCCAACACATCGAAGAAAGTGTTTGGGACAGGGCGGGGTTCTTCCTCAACGGCCGCCAACGAAGAATCTGCAGCAAACGGAAAGGAAAGGGCGCAGGGGGTATGTTTTGTTGTTGGGGGAGATGCCAGGACGCCGAAAGTTGCCAGGATGCCAATCTGCCAGGATGCGAGCGCAAAATCATTCCCCTGAAGGAATTCCTGAGAGCACGAAGAGCCCAGTGGCTTGCAGTTGGATCCGAGCTTCAAGAAGACTGTCCCTGGAATTGGATTCTGTGAGCACGAAGAGCCCGAGGTGGCGTACAGCTGGCTCCAGATATGGACGTCTGGGAACTCGAAAAACATGACGTAGCCCACAGGTGGCTATCAGCACTTAAAATAAGCACTGGGAATGGAGTTGAAGGTCTCCCGCCCGAGACGTCCTCGCAATTCACTCACGCTCAATGCTTCCGCTCGAGAAATCCTGCGGATTCAAACCTCAAAATCGAAAACATGGGAACAGGTATACGGCTCGAGTGACCCCATTGATCAGTACCATGGTCTGGGAGACCCTACGGCAAGAAGTTCCCGCTCGAGGCGTCCTCCGAAATAACACACACACAAGGCTCCCACCTCAGACATCCTCAGGATTAACCTGTAAAGGCCTAAGGCGACGGCAGCGATAGGAGTCGGACGACCTCCTCCCATTGGTAGCATGGCCTGGGGAGCCTTTTTGACATGGACTCCAGCTCCAGACTTCCTCGCGATCCACTCACAGAAAGGGCTCTCGCTCGAGACGTTCTCCAGATTCAAGCCTCAAAAACCCAAAAGTAACGACCGCTACAGGAGTCGGATAACCCCCTCGGATTGGTCATGATCTGGGGGGTCTCATTGGAAGGGGATTCCACTCGATACGGCCTCGCAAGTTACTTGCAGACGAGGCTCCCGCTAGAGACTTTCTCGAAATGAGCGTGGGAAAACGTTGAAAGCATGAGCGCATGATTTAGATTATATGTGTACGAAGGGTGATGGCGGCAACAACGGCGACGACGAAGACGACGACGATGACAATGCAGATGCTGATGATGCTGATGATGGCGACGACGACGACGCAGATGACGACGACGATAACGATGACGATAATGATGACGACGGCGATGGTACTAATGTTGAGCTATGACAGATGATCATGACGGGGGTGATGATGATACTTATGATGATGGCGATGATGATGATTCGAATGACGATGGTGGTGATAATGCCGATGCTGATGATGATGATGATGGTGATGAAGATGACAGTGACGATGATGATGAGGATGGTAATGATGATAAGGATGATAATGATGATGATGATGAGGATGATAATGATGATGATGATGATGATGATTATGGTGATGATGATGATGCTGCTGATGATGATGATGGCAGCGGTGCTGATGGTGATGATGGTGATGATAATGATGGTGATGATGGTTATGATGATGAGAATGATGCTGATGATGATGATGATGATGATGATGATGATGATGATGATGATGATGATGATGACGATGATGATGATGTGGGGTGTGTCTTCCTGCGCGGGGATGTCCAGAGAAAGGAAGAGCACTACTGTGGATGCGACGAGATATCAAGACATCGGATGTCTGGGCCCCTTCCTGCGCGAAAGGCGGGGGGAAGAAGTCGGATCTGCGTAGCGGTCCTCCCCAAACCCACCTCAGAATGGAAGGAAAGGGGAGGGGTGGGAGGAACTTTTTTTCGTCGGCGGCGGGGCAGAGTTGGCTGCACCAGCGATGAAAGCTAAACGGGGGGCACCGAGAAGCGAATTGGCCAGCGTGCACGAGCGGACAGAAAAACAAACGAAGCAACCACCAAAAAAGGGGGGGAGGAACACCAAAGGGGGGCTCAGCGAATCGGCTGCGTGCAGCTGGGCGCCTCGGCGCCTCCCTGGGAGCCAGGAGCGGCCACGCATCGCGAGGAGATGCCCGGCGGCGGGGCCAGAACGGGACGCACGCAGCGGAGTTTGACCCCCACCCCCTTCCCACTCCCCCCAGCCCTCCCCCGCCCCGAAAAAGACACGACCGTGGAGGGAACGACGACGAGGACCATGACCATGACTGAACGCGGAAACGTCGGTGTCGATCTTGGTCATCCTCATTCCAGGTCACCTTCAATTCGTGGCTCACCCTTACGGATCGGCGACGACCAGGATGGACCATGGCCCCAAACAAAACCGGCCTCGACAGGATCCCGCGACGTCTTGGTCATGGCCACCGTGCTCCTTCCCTCGAAGCGGGCTGGCGCTCTGGGAACCACCAATCCTCCTGCAGCCCCCTGGGCACGTCCACGAAGAGCGTCGCTGTGGCCTGCTCTCCCCCAGGCAGCTCGCGGACAGGCGGGATCTGCACCTCACCCGCGGTCGTCCACACCTCGCCGTCCGACGACAGGTAGGCACGGCAGAAGCGGCCGTAGTTCCTGGGGAGCCAGCATCGGAGGGCCAGTCGAGACAGAGGCGCCGTTTTGTGCTTTTGGCGTGTGCTCGTCTTCTTCATCGGGCCTCCTGGGAGCCTACCGTCGCCGCGGCTGGATCGAGTCGAACGCCTGGTCAGGGTGGACCCCGCCGGGAGGGGCCGCGGGAGCGACTTTCAGCAGGCGGGAGGGCCGCCGCTGTCTCGGCCCAGCCCTCCTCCGAGAAAACGGCCTGCCTTCCGCTCGCTGCTCCCCGGACCTCCGCCAGACTTTGCTCTGACCAGGGGTTCGAAGCGAGCTCGGCCGCGGCGACGCAGCCATATCGGCTTTCCCGCGACATCCGCCGATAGGACTACAAGGACCCCTGACCCCTTTGGAGGGGACCTACGTTAGGAGGGCCAGAAAACCCTTGGGTTCAGGGGGGGCTTTTCTGAAGATGTATGAAACCAAACCGCACACATGTATGATCCCTAATGCCAAGACGGAGACCTAAGTGAGGCCACGTCTTCACGATGTGATTAGGGTAGGGGCTCTTTGATCCACAGTCAAATGTGATGTTGTTTCCACCCGCGGCCCCAAAACTTCGGACTCCTTCCGCGGGCCAAATATTTCGCGCTGACTCCATTTTTGGTGGTCCCGGGGCCCAGACGCCGAAACCGAGGAACAACTCCCAGATCGGAAAATACATGTCGCCAGAGACCTGCATCTTTTCCTCCGCTGAGCTCCTGTCGCACGGCGAACACTTTCCCAGGTGAAGTGGTTCATCCCGAGTTGTTGTTTAAGGGTCCTGGGGCCCGGCGAAGGCCCTTAGGCCGAAAACGGCCAAAAACTTTCCGTCGTGTTTCTGTTCACGACGACGCGAGCACGTCTGAGCCTCTTCACCCCTGAACTCCTGTCGTACGGCGAGTACGTGAACCCCACCTGCTCGACGAAGGACACGTCGCCCGCGAGCTGGATCACCACCTCTGCTGGGTCCGGTAGGAAGGTGGACTGCTCGCGGTCGCCCTGGGAGAGGGAGAAGAAGGAGGAGAAGGAGGAGGAGGAAGAGGAGGAGGAGCATAACAAAGCAGAACTCGGGGGATCCCCTGGCGTAAGTCTCAACTTGAAGCCTCATGCCGCTTCGGACCCTGAGGGGGTGGCCAGCCAACAACTTTGACTCATGCACCTATCGGCGAGTTCCACGATTACGGATGGCTTTGAATCTAAGGAGCCCGTGCCCGAGCCCTCCAAGGCGCACATTCATTTCGGGGGCCAGCCCCTGGGTGCGGTGCCTTACTGCTGGATCGGCATCGAAAAGTTAAGCAATCAGTTTTCGGATACCCCGCGACCCTTCCGAGGAAAAGGAGGACGAGAGGAGGACGGCCTCACGGGCCTCGGAGGCGGAAGCTTGAAGTGATATGCATCTGGGGCGTCGTAACCCCGTTGCTGGGATCCGAGGCATGGTGCACCACCATGGTGTGCCACTCGAGGACAGGGCAACTATTGAGCAGAAGATGGGTTTGCTAGAGGAGGAGGCGAACCTGTAAAGGCGCTCTGGGGATAGTCACCAAACAGCAGCGGCGGCGGCTACAGCTAGGGTAAACATCTGGATCCCAGCGATCAGATATGGACCCAGGGCCGCTAGACCCACGGATTGCCTGGGGCGCCCCTCTGACCCAAACAGGTGAGAGAGAGGGGTGCGCGCAGGGAGGAGGACGTGGAGGGAAAAACAGGATGAGCAGAAGTAGGACACCGCTCCGCCGCCCAGTGGGCCTTCCATGCAGCGTCGATGGACGCCAGGTGCTGCTGAAACTTCGATGCCGAGTCGAAGCTGAGGGGCAGCACTGGCGGCATGACGCAGCCACGCGTCCAGCGCATGCCTTGACCTCGAGGAGGGGAACAGGATAGAGCAGAACAGAGCAAACTTCTGGGGTGCCGATCCTCTGACGCTCATCTTAGAAGGGCTGGCGTAACAGTGATCCCGATGGGCGGCACTGCTGGAAAGACTGACAAGACGCAATGTAGGCTGGGTGGGGCTCGGGAAGGACCGACGTGGCACAGAGCAACGCATGAACATAAACTGGATGCCCGTTTGGAGAATATTCGCGTAGCTGGCTGGAGCCAGACCCGTGACAAGAAAATACGACAATTTTCATACATACAGATACGGAAAATATGCTTGGTCATCATGAAGAGACTGCCACCCTTTCGTTGGGCTGCGACAGGAACGTCGCCCGCTCATGTACGTATCGAAAGCCTCCCCGGCCGTCCCGCATGCAGATGGATGCACTACGTGTAAAAAGCGTGCATGAAGGCATGAGTCAGACCTTCGTAGACACACGACGCACGACGCGCGACCACTGTCTACACAACTGATCATCGTGCCGAGTGATCCAACACACATGACCCGATCGATCTGCATGCAAGCATGACGAGAGCGACGTCGAAGACAGAGTGCCTCACTCAGTCTCCACCCGCGCTGCATGCGATCAGGACCAGCTCCCCGGAGGTCCGACGTCGCGAAAAATGCAACACCGTGAAAAATCACGACTGGAGCCCTAGACCCTAGACCACATCTTCGCGCTGCACCTTTTCGAGCCGGATCGACCCGCGACGGTCCCAGGACCCGACACCGGGCGAAGACGCCCGATGTGAAAGAAAAAAGCTGCAACGCCCCAGCGTCAGAACCGGTGGCCGTGCGGAACGAGGGGGCGGGCACGGGCGGGAAGGGGGGCGCGGCGGGCCCCAGCTCGCCCTCGAGGCCTCTGTTAAGGAGGCGGAGGCGGGCGAGGGGAGAGGCCTGGCACCCCCGCTATCTGGTCGCTCGGCGGGCCCTCAGGCCACCCCGGGAAGGCAACGTCGTAGCGCAGCAGCGGCTTCCTCGCGGCGTCCCGCATCCTGCCCAGCTCTCCGACCAGCTGTGCCCCCTGGGAAGCCAGGGCGAGATTGCGGCGCCGCGACTCGACCAGCGTCATGTGCACCGCGACCTCGCCCTCGACCACCGTGGCGAGCGGAGCCCTCGGATCGTCGAGGATCTCCGCCCCCGAGATGAGCCGCTGTTTCGCCACGGCGGGGCCCCCGGCCCGGGCGATGGCGCTCTTGAGGTCCAGCACCGTCGCGCCCAGAGGGAAGGCAGAGGGCCCCAAGGAGACCCCGCACGGGCACACGAGCTCTCGGACGTTGGAGGTGGCTGGGGGGTCTGAACTGGCTGGGGCCCCAGAAAATCTGCCAGGAGGAAGGGAGGAAGCCAAATCCATTCAAAATCAGTCCCTAGACCCCTCCCGGGATCTGGATCGGTCTTTGACAGTCCCGGGGCCCGAAACCAGCCCCGGAGACAGCAAAAAGCAAAACACCGGATCTGACTCAGAACCGCGAACCTGTCCCCCCCCCCCTTCCTAGATCCTGCTGGCCAGAACCAGCACCAGGACACCTCAGTCCCCCAGGTGGCTCCAACCCCTCACGGGCACGACTCGACTCAGTCTCTTTTCGCTTGAGACTCGATCCAAGATCGAGAGGAGGGAGAGGAGGAGGAGGAGGAGGAGGAGGAGAAAGGGAGGAGGAGGAGGAGGAGGAGGAGGAGGAGGAGGAGGAGGAGGAGGAGGAGGACGACGACGACGACGACGACGACGAGGGGGGGACGAGAGGGAAGAGGAGAGGGAGGAAGAGGGGGAGGGGGAGGGGGAGAGAGAGGAGGAGGAGGAAGAGGAGGAGGAGGAGGAGGAGGAGGAGGAGGAGGAGGAGCGAGCGCTCGGACGCCCTCTGGCGGACCTCTCCGCCGCGAGGTGCCCCCCCTTCGGGTGCGTGGGGGGTTGGGGGGGGCAGGAAGAGGGGCGCTGGCGCACCGCGGCCTCGACGTCCGAGGTTCCAGTCCTCACAAGCGGGGTCCGAGTAGATGCATCGACGATGCATCGCCGAGGCTCCGCATCGACGTTGCATCGACGAGGCGGCTCGATGTGGAGCCAGAGTTTCTCCTCGCCAGCGGCCGCGGCGCTCTGCAGGCTGCTGGCGCAGGCCCGCCCCATATGTAGCCATCGCCCCCTCTCGCCCGTGTGCGCAGAGGAAGAGGGGCGCTGGCGCACCGTGGCCCGCGTCAGATTCGCGGACTGAGGGGGAGCGAGGGAACGCATCGAGAAGAAGAAGAAGAAGAAGAAGAAGAAGGACGAAGAGGAATACGAAAAACTACAAATGATGATAATTAATGGTAACAATGGTACCCTCCCCTGGGCACCCGAGGCGCGGCAGTCGGGTCGGACGAAAGAGGGGCCAGTGAATCAGCCTACGCAGCTGACTCTCCAGGCGCATCTAGGCGCCGGAGGCGCAGGTGCACGGAGGAACGCGCCGGGCGGCGGGGCCGCAAACCAGCCGCACGCAGCAGAATTCGTCACCCCACCTGTCCCGGCTGTATCCCCCCGTTCGCCCGACCCGAGCGGCGTCTCTCGAGCGGGACCGCTCCGTTGAGGGGCCCCGGGGCCCGCAGCCAGGCGAGAGCGCCTGGCGTGAGACTCGCGCGCAGAGTGGACCCCTGGAGGCGTGGACCCCTTGGGGTGTGGACCCCGCCAGGGGTGCGGCTTCTTGTAGAAGGAGGCTGCGTCCTAGAAGGCCCGCCCCTTCTAAGAGGCAGCCTCCTTCCAAGAAGCCTCCCCCCTTCCCCCATAGCCCCTCTGCGTGTGGCCGACCTTTTCCCAGGATGGGATTGTCATCTTGAGTCGGTGCTTCACTGTCCCAGGGCCTAATGAGGGCCCCCGGAACGCCGAAGACTGCCCGAGTCCGTCCGTCTCGATTTCTGCCGTGACGGAACTCAAACCTCCGATGCATTTACTATTCCGAGACGGGGACCACTGAAGCCCCAACCCGTTCCCCATGGCTGGTTCTTCATCCCGAATCGTTTTCTGATGGCCCTGGGGCCCGGTGAGGGCCCGGCGAGGCTGAAACCTACCAAAACCCATGTGTCTCGATGTTTGTCGCAACGAGAATCCTGCAACCAGAACCATAGACCCCACCTTTCTCCTGCATCTCTCGGGCCAGATCCGTCTGCGAGGGTCCTGGGGCCCGAAACGAAGCAACATCGCCCTCTGTGAAAAATTGCCACGCCAGGATCTCAGGGAAAAGGTGGGGAGTTGGAGGCGGCCAGAGGGACTGAGCTGGTTGGGACCCCAGCAGATGTGTCAAGAGAGGGGGATGAAGACAAATGCCCTAAAATCGGTCCCATGAACCCTACCAGGGCCTATCTGGTGTTGTTTTTCACCCCGAACCTGTCTTTAGCATTTCCAGGGCCCGACAACTGCCCCTGGAGACTGACAAATGCAAAAGACCTGCTCGAATCCAGGACCTCGGACCTCGCAGTCGGATTAACAAACGACATGAATCGGGTCGGCGGAAATCGGCAGCCAAGTCGGGAGAAATCGAATCGGCGGAAACTGGCTGGCTAGTATGGCCTCCGTTACATAATCGGAACCCACATCAGAATCCGAACTCGAACCGTTTGGAGACGGAATCGGAATCGATCGAGATCGATACGAACCGGGTCCGAGGAGTCGAAGCAAGCCCTGCCTGGGGCCCTCTGCGAAGCAAAACTCCCCGAGGTCCCTGCCGCCGGGCGTGCTGACCGTGACGACCGCGCGCCGCGCCTCGGCGGCCGCGGCGCCGGCGGACATTGAGCGGCGGCCAGCTAGGGGCGCCGCGGGGCCATGGCGGGAGGCGCGCTGTGGTGCGCCGTGAGGCCATGGCTACGGCAGGCGGACGGGGAGGAAGAGGAGGAGGAGGAGGAGGAGGAGGAGGAGGAGGAGCAGGAGCAGCAGAAGCAAGAGGAGGAGGAGGAGGAGGAGGAGGAGGAGGAGGAGGAGGAGGAGGAAGAGCGGAGAAATGCAGGGCATTGGCCAACCACTCCTCCGACATCGAAGGCTCCGTTTACCTCGATGACATCCACCTCCAATGGCACAGGTCATGCGCATCAACCTCTCTTCCGACCTCGTTTACTCTATCTACGTTTTCCTCGACGAGCACCACCTCGGCAGGACAGCCTACTATCGGGTCTTCTATCTCGTTCACTCCGTCTGCTTCTACTTTCTCGACGACCTCCACCTCTGAGGAAGACAAGCATGGCAGGGTTTGGGGTGAGAGGTGTTTATGGAGGAGGGGATGCGCGGGGGTAGGGAATGACACACACACCGAAGCTGTTGCGACTGACCCACCCACCCACCTGCGCTTAGGCTGTCATACCATGCTAGACTCACTGCCTCCTCTCATCCTGTTCATCTTCACCGCTGAGGCCACTCTCTCACCTGTACACACGTCAGTCTTCTCACCGCCGCCTTAGGTTTGCAGAATGCAGGGTCGACTGGTCCTCCCCGCACTCCAAAAGAGCGACCCTACTGCTGAGATCTCCAAAAAAGCTAGCCACTGCGGCCCTTTGCCTCCACCCTAAAAGCATGGCAACTGCAGCCTACCAGTCGGCTCATTAGGCACCAGGATCCCCACTCCTCTTATCATGCTCTCCCTCCCTCCTGTCCTGTTGGCATCGCCGCCCCATCGCACCGTTTGCACCGCCTCCAGCAAGCTCGATACCGCGCGCTCCCACCTACCCACCCACCTTCGCCGCTCCTTGCTCCTCTTCTTATTATTCTTCTTATTTACCTTCGAGGCCTCCTATACCTCCTTCCTCCTTCCATGCGAACAGGGGGTAAACCACTTACAAGGCCTAGAGGCGAACGCTCACCTCCTCTTGCCCCTCCCTCCCCCTCCCTATTCTTCCCTTCCTCCCCGCCCTCTCCCCTCCTCCTTGCCTCTGAGTGCTCGCCTTCTGGAGTTACAGGTGAGGCCATCGCCACCATGGCTGCTCTGTTCAGGCGCCCTTCTTCTCCACTCCTACCTAGGCCATTATGTGACCTCGTCTCATGCATCTCGCTTCTCACCTTTTCCCTAATGCGCCCCCACCTCCCCGCAGGGCTTAGCCGTGGGAACGTGGCAGGACAAGTTTGCACGGCGACAGAACCTCTTACAGCCGTTAGAAGCAGCAGCAGCAGGAGGAGGAGGAGGAGGAGTAGGAGGGAGGTGGAGGAGGAGGGTGAGGAGGGGGGGGAGGAGGAGGTGAGGAGCAGCAGAAGCAAGAGGAGCAGAGCGAGGAGGAGGAGGATAAGATACGATAATACAGGATCAGATAAGACACACTTGCGAACCTTGTCCTGGCTTACCTGCAAGCATCTCTCTGAAAAACAGAAGCGCCGCCTCGCAGCGGCTCGAGTGGATCTGCGTCCGAGGAAGATCGGCGATCGGGATCGGAATCGGGCTCGTGGAGCTCGGGCGCCTGCTCGAAGCTACCGCGAGTGAGAGCATGAAACCGCTCAATGCGAGAACTCTGACTGGCGAAACTCGGCTGGCAACCGCCAACCTTGCAGGCGGCCCCCGCTCTCGGACGGGGTCGCGCAGATGCAGGGGCAACCCCCCATTGGGGCACGCAGCGATCTCGGCCTCCCAGGGCCCTTGTCGGTCCCCGTGGGCGGTCAGGCAAGGACCTGGGATGACAACCTGACCCCAGACAAGAAATGCCCAGACCTCGAGGGGTCCAACCTGTAAAACAATCACGACGTCGGAGGTCTGGGAGAAGGAGCATGGCCGTAGACTCTACGGCTCAAGAAGCTACCTCTCGACTCGACGCGGGGGGGAGGGGGCGAGGGGGGGGAAGCGCGCACGAGCCGACCCGTGGGGAGCCAGCGCCCAGGCGAGGCGCTCTCACGCGCCATGGTCGCTCTCCCTGGCGAGCGATCTGACCGCGGCGCCCGCGCTGCGAGGACCATTGACTGCGTGACTGCGAGAACCTGCACCACCATCTCCGGCAGGATGATGAGAGCGACTGCCGCGCCATGGTTCTCCACGAGGCTACGAAGCCTCACCCACGACCCCGTGGAAAGCCAGATCACCCCGTGGAAAACCTAATCAACATCATCGCCGTGAGCTCTCTGCTCTGCGCCGGCTGACCTACGCCGCGCGCAAAGGGCTGGCGCCCGCGGGCACCGACGTGGCTGCGGCCACGGCCGCTTGTGCTGCGGCCCAAACTGCAAGCCACCAGCTGAGCGACGGAGGCCACCCGCAGAACTACGAGGGACACAAGTGGAGCAACGAAGGTAACCAGCAGAGCCACGGCCTATGGCGGCCAACAGCAGAGCTATGATGCCCCTCAGCACAAGTTACTACAGCGGCCGCGTCGACTGGCGCGCGCGCGGATCGCAGGAGGCGCCGCCAGGGGCGCCCGGCGCTGATCCAAGAAATCCGCGCGGGCCACCGAACAGTTTTACGTTGGTGCAGGTTTTCTTCGAGATCCACTGGCAACGCCGCGCGCGCTCTGCTCGCTTAAGCCCCCGCAATCGAGATCAGCATGGGATCCGGAAGCCGGACCGAGTCGGGATGTGCGTCGGGTCGGGCTGCACTGGCACGGAGTTGAAATGTAATCGGATCGGCTGTGCCAGGACCCAGGATGCCCATCAGTGGTGTCCCTGGCCGAAGGCGTCCCAGTTGGCAGCCTCACTCTCGAGCGTCAGGGGCCCCATGGGCCACGTGAGAGGTGCTCTAGAGGCCATCATGGCCTCCCTGGAAATCCTGCGGGCACCCTGCCCTAGGGGACACCTCTGGCAAAGCCCGAACAGCGCCATGCGAGCATCGGGCCGCACGGGGTCGCCAGGACATCGGACCTGAATTGGATCGGGATGGCTGGAACCGATGTCGAATCGATACCCGCCAATCCGAAGGGTTAGGTGGACACATGAAGTAAGAGGGCAAATGCACTGGGTTGGGTTCGGTCCCGCCCAAAAAAATAACAAGCAACAGCCAAACCATAGCCATTCCTGAAATAAGAAAGCGCTTGAAGTAGATTGGGATGCGAATATCCAGATATAGCCGCAGACACTCTTTGGAAGACCCCCACGATGGTGAAATGAATTATTTCTTCGGCGGCCTGATTAACGGACTGGCGGTCCACCAATGGCCCACCAATACTTGAAACAACTTAATTTTAGAAGATGGAAAGGGGCGTGGTGTAAAGGGGTGTGGTGTGGGCGCCCTGCATGCCCATAGAAAAACGATATGGGCGACTTCGCTGCGTCGCCATCTGCGACGCGCGCGGCCGAATCCAAAGCAACGCCGGCATCCCTGCTCCAAGTGGACCACGGCGAGGTGGGAATGTATGCAAAGGGTATACAAACGATCGGATGGTAATGCAAAACGGACGTGGGCCACTAGTGCGCCACACAAACGCGAATCAGAAGCACTGGCACGATGGACACAATCATCGCGTTGAGAAGGTGTTCCGCGCAAGCCCAACGTCGGATCGCGGGAAACGCTCGGTGCCCCAGAAGGCCTGCGAATATGACCACCCCCCCGACTCGTCAAAATGCGAAAGGCCCTCTTCTACCGATCCTTCCTGTTACGCCGCTCCCCGCATAATTGCCCCATCGCTTTCCAAAAGAAGCACTATTTCCTATTTGCCTCCCCCTGGCCACGCCACGCGCATGGGCGCGCGCGGCAAGCCTGAGCCGCGCGACTCTGTCACGGGGGGCGAAACGGACGCTGGGAGTCCGCCCCCCATCGTCGGATTCGCTTGAACCCGCTGAAGGGAAAACGCGGACTGGACACGACGCCGAGCACAAGAATGCATGGCCGCGTAGAGTAAATAATCAGGCGCATCAACGCGCGCCCTTTTACTTTGCAGCCCGGCGACCAGCAAAGACCTCACGCGCGCCCCCTCCCCGACTTGCATGACCCACGAAAGAAAGTTCCACTCGGTCGGCCACTGGCCCAAGGAGCGCAACGCGCGGAATATCACGAGTCAGTGGCCGGGCTGTTTCGGCGAAGTTCCACAGGCAAGCGTGAACTGTCGCATCGGTGTTTCCTCGGGCCGGCCTAGCCAGGCGCAAAAGAACATGCGAATTGCGGTGTTGCGGCAAAGTGGCCCGCAGCATGCTGGCGCGAATGGGCCGGGCAGGCATTGGGGGCAGGGCGTGGGGAAACATGGGATTCTGCACGTTGCTCACACGTCCGCCGAAAAGGGCCCTGCAAGTCCAAACGGCGCCCGCGGCGATTTCAATCTGCCGCCGTGCCAAAACTGCGATGTAGGGCGGCTTCGGTTTCAAGGCTCAACCCCCACCCCCCGCCCACGAAACAATCATCGCAACAGATGCGTTGAGCTGCGCTGCCCTGTAAAAGCACAATGCAAGACATGTTTGGCGCGCCCCGCAATTCCCCTAAATTTAATTTCGTGACTTCGCCAGTCTGCTGTCTAAAGCGCCGACTGGTCTCTCTGACGCACATTCATTACCTGCCTCCTCCGCCACCGAGGTTTCCCCTGCATCCCCCATCCGCCGGCGCCTGGCTACGCTGCGATCGCACGCAACTGCGCATGAATCTATCATGTTTCGCCCACTAGAAATCCGAACCATCAAAAAAGAAATTCCGGAATGTCCAAAATTTGGAAGACGAAATTCCGGAAATTCCGAAATTTGAAAAACGAAATTCCGGAATGTCCGAAATTTCAAAACGGCTGGTTCTTCACGGGCAAAACAAAATTCCGGAAATTCCGAAATTTGGAAAAACGAAATTCCGGAAATTCCGAAATTTGAAGGAGGAGGAAAAAAAAAAA